AAAAAAAAAAAAAAAAAAAAAAAAAAAAAAAAAAAAAAAAAAAAAAAAAAAAAAAAAAAAAAAAAAAACAATGTAAATAGAGCATTTTTTACGCAACGGAGTGTTCAGACGTCAATATTGTATTTGAATACTCGCATCTTATTTGTGTAATGCAAACGAATGTAGAATAAGTTGGATGTTCAAAAGAATTCATGATATTAAAATTAATTCAGTGCGACCACCGCATCGTTATTAATAGGTCATATTAAATTACACAACGAAGTACGTTAATTTATTAATTTACGAAACAATTAGGCATACGAGTATGACCGTACCTTATGTCACATTTTCACATTGTGCATCGTCTCATGTTAAATGTCACATTTTTATTTGAACGCTCATATACTTATACATAAGAAAATGTAAGTTTGGGAATTTACTTTCGAAAACGAAAAAAGAAAAAAGAAAAAAGAAGAAAAAAAAAAAAAAAAAAAAAAAAAAAAAAAAAAAAAACCCAGAACAAGAACGCGAGACCACAACGCAGCACAATCAAACCAACACGCAGCAAAGTAAGCCAGACTGAAATAAAGAGCGTCCTGGTTTTTGCTTGGTCCAATTCTCATTTTCTAGACTGCAAAGTGCCACTGTTTATTGGCGTAACGGGCTGCGTCTGGGGCCTCTTGTTGCTCATCATCAAACTGTATTTGTGACAGCCGGCCAGCAGCTGGGCCGCGTCCGCTGCAGCAGCATCGTCGTCGGGGCTGGCCGCATTGCTACAATCAACAACAATGGCAGCAGCAGCGGGCAACTACAACAACAACAACAAGAACAAGAACAACGACGATCCCAGTACAACTACTACCGTAACAAGAATAGCAGTAACAACAACAACAACAACAACACCAACGGACAGGGGCAGCAGATGGCCTGCAGGCGCGTTCTCGTCGTGCAGGGCCGGGTGCCCGGTGTGATGCAACTAGGGCCGCCCGTTGGGACTCGCGGGCCCACCAGCAGCAGCGTTAGTCGCTTCCTGATGCCCTGTGGGCTAGCTGCTGCTGCTGCTGCCGGCTGCCGTCGACTCTCGTCACCCGGTAAAACCTCCTTGGCGGGGCAAGACTTCTGCATCTGCGCCAGCCATTCCCATCCTGTCCCGCATGGCAGCCCCCTCGATGATTGCTGCTACCTGTTACTGCTGGTGTTACGTCGTCGTCGTCGTCGTCGCCGCCAAGATTGACATGGATGATTGTGATTGATGACGATGCCAATGTACCACCTATATACACTCACCTACATTGCACAGTACAAGCCCAACCACCAGCAGCTGACAGTATATAAGCTCCACCACTTTTTGTTTCTTCCCGTGCAGAGTGTGTGCAGTCGGCTGGCGTGAGAATCTCCAGTCCTGATGGGGCAGCAGTTAATTCAGTTCTTTCGGTCAGTCATCGCTTGCAGTTATGTACCTAATTGTTGCTACTGATGCTGATGCTGCTGCTGCTGCTGCTATACTGCTGGTCCCTGTCTGTCTCGAAATCATTATTACTCCCCCGATAGACGATCGGCTGTTCGGTTACCCCCACGACTTATACGTCATTCGCGAAATATCAAGATTTTCAATATCTAATTTGACAATCCTTACCATGCCGTCTTCTCCTTTTGTTTTTCTTCCTTTCCGCGTGCAGTTTCATAAATCCTTCTCGATTCCCGGCTAAATTTTTTGCGTTGTGGTTTGCTATTGTCCTGCACCTACGTCAATGAACCAATGTTTGTTTCTTCGTATGGAAAAATTGTTGTTGATTATCAGAGATAATCACCTGTTAACGGGTCACAAACAAATGATACTACTACGTTCGTGATAAAGTGCTATTGAAAATCGTCCCCCGATTCGCTCGGTCAAACTAAAAATAAGTGTTATATTATATTTTTCATCATTGCAACTTTTACTTCACATGTAACAGAAATACATTACTTGTGTACAATAATGATAATAATAATAAAATTTTGCGTGCAGTGTATAACGTTTTCCAGAGTGGATTTGACATTTGTTTTTGCATGCAGCTCTTGCCTGTGTAATGATAAGCGATTGGTTTCATCTTTTGCAGCTGACCGATTTGTGATGGAAATTTGAATGGCAATAGTTTGGTCAAACCTGAAAAATCGATATAAAATGTTTTTTCTCTGGCAATGATAAATAATACGCACGATTTGTGAACAAGACATGAGTATTCTCGTGACCGCCAGATATTTGTACCTGACTTTTTTTTTCCTGATTTTGTGAACGACTAGTTTGTAGTGCACTCGCTCTTAAATCGATCGATCGATTGAGATTGAGATCTTACCTGTATGTGTTGGGCAAGCAATAATTTATGACAATGTGATTAAAACATATGCTGCTCGATAACACTTGTAGCGAATAATCGAACAATTTGCGCACGCTCGCGGGGTTAATGAATACTTGAGAGGCGTAAAGTTGGGAAGAAGAAAAAAAAAAAGAAAAAAAAAAAGAATTAAAAAGTGACATGGCGTTGGACCCCATGTGTGTATACATATTGTAAATTGAGAAGTAAGGGTTGTTTGACTAATAACAGCGATTGATGAGCTCTTTAACTATACTGTTTTCCTCTTTATCTTGTGAATCACGGAGTTTGTGGTTTTCTAACAAATCTTAAACCTTTTGTGGCGATTTCTGAGAGATACCCACCCTCCTGCGGAGGGAGAGCCCGACGAACAGGACCACGTTTGAATAACGAAACCGCGTTTGTCTTTGCATTTCAGTTCTGGAGAGGCCGACCTCGCAGATGTCCTATCTCGAGCACTTTCTCAAAGAGACGGCGGGCAACGCGCGCCACGGCAGCGTCGACAGCGTCGAGGGCGACATCGAGGACAACCGCGCGCCCAGCATCACCAGCAGCAAGAGCAACCTATCGGATTTCAGCATCGTGAGTACTATGATCGATGATCGGCCGATCAAACGAAAATTGATGATTCATTGGTGTTTCTCGTTACAGGATCCTACGTCTCCGCTGTCGCATGAGCTCCTGAACAAGTCGTCGGCACTTTCGCAGGGCCACATCAGCCTGCAGCCCAAGCCCAAGTCGCACCAGTTCCTCGTGCGCACCTTCTCCGGGCCAAACAAGTGCAACCACTGCACCTCCCTCATGGTGGGTGTCATCAGGCAAGGCGTCGTTTGCGAAGTTTGCGGTTTCGCGTGCCACGTCCAGTGCTGCGACAAGGTGCCCTCGGTCTGTCCGGTTCCTCACGACCAAAGTAATCATCTATAAACCCTGACGATATCATTTTTTTTTTACTCATTGGTGACGATGATGATGGTAATACGAACGCGTTTCTTTTGTTTCGTCCAGCGAAACGGCCGTTGGGCATCGATCCGACCCGAGGCATCGGCACGGCTTACGAGGGCTACGTCAAGGTGCCCAAAATGGGCGGCGTTAAGAAGGGCTGGATTCGCCAGTTCGTCGTCGTCTGTGATTTCAAGTTGTTCCTCTACGATCTCTCCGATCGCAATGCGATACCCTCGGTTTACGTATCGCAGGTGCTCGACATGCGGGACGACGAATTCAACGTCTGTTCGGTTCACGACTCGGACGTTATACATGCCACCAAAAAGGACATACCTTGCATATTCAGGGTGAGTTGTTTTTCATCACCTTCTCATTCTGATTTTTTTTTCCATGAGCTTCGCCAATTGTTGTGTGTTAAGAGAAAACTTGTTCCCATTTCATAAATACTTACTAAAATTTACTCATTCAATAGGTTTCACCAAAACTCATATTATTTGCAAGTCGGGCAGGGAATTTTTCATGCATTTGTAACGATACTACTCATCGTTTCTATTTACTGCGATCGTCTTAATTTTATTTAAAAAATCATTGTTAGAAATTCATAAAGACCATAAATTATTTCCATTAATCCTAAAAGGTATTTTACTCTAATAATGTTCAGAAATCTAAAGTTAAACATTGCAAAAAAAAAATTTTTAAACATTATTGGCTGTAGCTTACCTTTGAACCATTCTGTTACAAATTTTTGTTTGTATAATACAGATAACAACATCTTTGTTGGAACCACCTGGTGTGCGAAATCACACGTTAATGCTTGCCGACACCGAGAGTGAAAAAGCTAAATGGGTTGTGGCGCTGACTGAACTGCACCGGATTCTAAAGAGGAATAATCTTCCTAATACTACCGTATGATTCATAATTATTTTAATTTTCCGATCATAATGACAATAACAACTAAAAAAAAAATTAATACTTCATGCACATGTACATGTGAAATAGTTCTAACCTTATTGAAATACTAATGCTTTTTTCCTTACGTGCTTCTTTTTTTTATTTATTTAAGATTTTCCGTGCAAAAGAACTGTTGGACAATACATTGTCACACATTGTCATTAAAAATGTCCTGTCAGGGGCAATCATCGATCCAGATCGTCTAGTCATTGGTACCGAGGAGGGCTTATTTTGCGTAGATTTAGATAGTAGTGGTAAGTGCCTCTAAACGTAAATTAATCTTATCAAAAAGTTATTACTCGTTTTGAAAGATTACTATAAAAATGGTTCTTCATACCCACAGAAATAGCAAGAGTCGGCGAAGGGAAAAAAATTCATATCATAGAGTATATTCCGGAGGAACAGGTAATCTTTGTACTTAGTGGTAAGCAGCGGCAGGTGCGTCTAGTACCGGTGCGAGCATTGGACAGCGACGAAGTTGAGTGGATCAAAGTTGCAGAAACAAAGGGCTGCATTACGATTACTACTGGCGTTATGCGTACCAATCCTTTGACATTTTGTGCGTGCGTGGCTATAAAAAAACAGGTAAAATTTTTTTTTTTCAAGTTTTTTGATAGCATTTGCCAAACAATCGCCTGAATTCTGATTATTGTGCGATTGTCATTACAGAATGCTTCTCAAGTCATAATTTTCGAGATCACACGAACCAAGACGCGTCACAAACGCATACGCGATTTGATGCTACCTTGTCATGCGCAGACTTTGCAAATTTTGGCAGAAGGACGCCTCTGCGTAGGATATCCTTCGGGATTTTCAATATACAGTATTACAGGCGAGCACCATCCCATTTGTAAGTATTAGGCAAATTGAACTATCTGTTTGATTCTTATTAATTCTTAATATAACAAGAAACGTACTTCAAGGCACATTTAACGATATGTACCTGTGACTTTGTTCCAGCTCTTGTTCATCCGGAAAATGCACTTTTAAATTTATTGACATTTAATGCCTTGGATGCATTTAGATGCATTGAATTACAAAACGGCGAATTTCTACTTGCATTTTATTCGTTAGCAGTTTACGTTGATAGTCAAGGCAGAAAAAGCCGAGACCGAGAAATCATGTATACAGCGTATCCTACAGCAGTCAGTAAGTTGAAATTATTTTTGTAATTTTAAACATTAAAATTTTTATAAATATCTATTGTATGGGCAATATTGTTTAATTTTAGGTTACTACGATGGTTATCTATTGGTTTACAGCGAAACGCATATTGACGTGTTTGATTGTCAATCGGGAGATTGGTTGCAAACACTCAATGTTAAAAGAGCTAAGCCCTTAAATCCATCAGGCTCGCTCACTGTTTGTGTAATCAACGACATGCCACATGTTATATATTTAAGTAATTTACGCCAAGGTAAATTTCCGTGCCGTATAATAATAATATTTGTTAAAATAAAACCATTAACTTAACTTCTTGCGCGATTTACTCATTTATCTTAGGTCAATTGCTCAATCTGTCAACTCTAGATGCAAGTGGTATACCAATGGCCCGACCACGAAGAAGATTCTCACTAAGAGAAGGAAATCGTGCGGCCCGTCCGACTGACAGACGTTCTAAAATGATTTCTGCTCCTACTAATTTCAATCATATTACTCATATGGGACCTGGAAATGGCATTCAAGTGAGCTAACTTCAAAAAAACTTGAAAATAATCGCAAATTAATACAATTGCTTTGCATGATAATTTTTATTTTCGTTTCTCATTAGATCCAGCGCCTTTTAGACTTACCTACAACTCTCGAAACGGCTGATCAACAGCTCCAACAGCAACATTCAAGTTCACATTTTCTAAGTCAACAACAACAACCACGAGTAAGTATTATTGAGTTATAAGATTTTAAAGATTAATAATTTCTTAATTCGATGTAAAATTCAATAACTGCAACTCGATCTTCATGTTTTCCACTTGGTTGGAATGATTAAAGTTAATTTACAAATCTACAATTCAATGAACGAAATTAACCATTTATTAATTTTATCAATACAGATTTATAGTACAGCCGTACAACCTCCGAATAAGCCGGCACCACTGCCTCCTAGACATCCGCCTTCGGATTCCCGACGACTGAGTTCACATGTTACGCGGAATTCTGGTTTTTCACCACATAATGGTAAGAAATCATTTTTAGTGAAAAAAAATTCAATGCATGAATTTCAAAAATTTACGGGCTCAAAGCCCATTGCTGCGATTAACATAATATATATCGACAAAAAAATTGTTAGTCGATAGATTAAACAGCAGTTCAAAAGTTACGTTACCATTGACGTGATTCATTGTACCTTTGTGTTCTTAATTCTACTAGGATCATCATCTTCAAGAAGAGGACCAGCACCACCAAGACCAACAGCTACACCACCTTCATTACCACGAACTCCTGTGGACCAAGTTGATTCAGAATCTTTGCATGTTAGATCGCACACACCTCATTCTCTGGGAAGCATTGCTTCGTTGCAAGATAAGGTAAAAAAACAAATATTCATTTTGGGTGACAAGATGTAATTAAAAATTATGTTAATGAATTTTACAATTATTTTAAATGATAGGAGCACGTGTCGGGAGGAAGTCCTCGGCACTCGATAGCTTCCAACAACAGCTCCAATCCGTCAACTCCACCTAGTCCTGCACACGATCATGGCTCGTCATCTTATGACTCCTAATGAAAAACAGACAAAAATAATTCTGGTTCGACGAAGATAATATGACAGCCAGAAAAAGAGTCATCAATATACGTATGCATTTTAAAATGAAACATATACAAATATGTATGTGCATGTACAAACTTCAAAAGAATTATCGAACGATTTGCGAGATAGTAACTTGAGACTTTTAGCTGTGGTAACATTTTCTTAGGGAATCATCATACTTTATATACATCCAATCTTATACCTGAAAAGTTACCAGAAGAATTTTTGACCTTGTATATACAATCTTGATACCTATTTTTAACTAGATAAAATTATAGTTGCAAGTGTGACAAAGAATTTATTATATTGACTATTGTATAGTATAAATATTCAATCGCATATAGACTTACGAAACGTACACTTTCTATATACACGTTCATAGACACGCATATACATATATACACACTAGGGATTAAATGTCTGTACCATTTTTAAGCGTGTCGTGTTTTTTCTATGACATTTTATGTAGAAAAATTATAAAATAAATAATGTGAGACTGGTTTCGCTTATGAACAAATAATATAGCTTTTATGCTTATTAAAGATTCGTTATATTTATTATTCACGAGAAAAATACAATAAATTTGGAAATTTTAAGAATAAAAATTTACTGTACATGCACGTGTATGTACACATTATGTATTTATAAAAATGTATTATTTAATGAAAATTTTTCTGAATCAAAATGTCAGATAGTATTATTTATTGTATACACGCATATACACATGTTAATTTTTTGACTTTTAATTAATATATATGATTGAAATGATTGATAAAAAGAAGTTTTCCTATGTTATAAAAAATTAATTGTACATAAATTGTATTAAAATACGAAAACGTATTAAGAGCAAATATCATATTAATGAATATAGTAAAAACAAAACGATTCAACCGCGATTTATTTATTTATTCTGTTAATTTTTTCGTGTGTGCTTAAGTAAATTTATAAATACGTGGGTAACAAGAATTAAGAAAATTCATCTAGATATAAATAGATGAATATGGATGCGATAATAAATAAAGGGAATCGAGAGTAAGTAAAGATTTCCAGTCAAATTACTATTTAGCAATAACTTTAACCGGCTTTATAATGGAAACTGATAGTCTGTTAAGAGTGTTGGTGCTTTAGTGGCTACCATTAAAAAAATGAAAAGAAATCGTAAATGAATGTATATTACAAAGTATAAACAACGATATTAAAAAATGAATTGGTCGCAAAGTTGAAAACTAAACTTGCATACTTTGCCTATGAAACATTTGTGCACTGTCTTCGCCGGCCAAAATTTATTGTATTAATAGAACTAACTTATGTTATATACGTTTTATACAGTCGCATACCTTAATTAACATTGTTATATTTTGATCGAAAGTTTATACCTACATTTATCATACATAATGTGACGCAGATTTCATTGTAAACGTTTCTATTTCTTAAGGGGATTCTAAAGGTCTCCCTTTACCGTAGTGCTTTACCCAAGTTTACTATGTTTGTAAGCCGTGCTTTTAAATTATTTATTTGTAGACAAATTTAGAATAAGCAAAACTCAAGATTACATGCCTTTGAGGTTAGACATTTTTTATTATCATACGAAGTTTATTACGTGAAAGACAAATTTAAAACACCTTGCTCCAAAAATTTATTTTTATTTCGGTGCAAGAATTTTTCAAGTTTCCCCTGACCTATAAACTCCAAACTCTGTGTGATAATAAATAATGTTGCTATCAAGAACTAGTTGATCTTAGGTTTTACTAATTTTGAATATATCTTTAGAAATAATTACAGAAGTACAGTTTACTGATAAAGTACACTCGAGTACACCCCAATGGTAATAGTAAATTTTTAGCATCCCGTTAAACATGCCTTTTTCTTTTACTTTAAGAAAAAAGACAAGTGATAAAATGCATAATTAGTCGTATTATAGTTATTATTTAGATTTTTGTTCTAAGAAAAAAATTTGTATTTCAGAATGTATACAAGAATATTTAATGAGCATGAAAATTTATTAAAATCGTACGTGAGCTGTATTATTAACGAGTCACAAAATAAATTGAAAATTTCATTTCAAGTACACGTAATTGTTTTTATGAGTGATATCAAATTACTTGAAAAGTGTATACAATTGACAATTTTTGCAAACCCTAAATGCGCCCCGGGCATCCCATATTATAGCGGCAAATAGCATTGGAAAGTAGAAAGAGACAGACTATTAATAATATTCGGCAAATCTCATATTGTCCATACTGTTTCAATGGATCAGCTGATGTTTTTCACCGACTCTTCGTTTACTGCTTTGACCATCACGCAGCGCTGAAGTTCACGTCGAGGACGTCACCGTCGGGGTGTGGATACCTATATTATAAATCGATCTGCTCAACTGCCGTGCTGAGGTGCCGTATAGACTCTACGGTGTAGAGATTTCTTGGTATAATCCGTACTTATTGCTACTTGCTGGAATCTTTGCTGCATCAAAAGGATGAAGTATTTCAAATTGGCTACTAAGTACAGCACGAAAAAAGAAAACAATATTTAATTAAACACTTTCTTTTTTAATTTTTCGTACAATGTCTGGCAAAATAAAATTTTAAAGCTTATTTATTTAAATATAACTGAATTACAAATATTAAAATTCTATCAAAATAAATTAATGGATTAGAAATAGCTTGTTTGTAACGCACCAAAATCATTTTATTGTATCGCTTAATTCTAATGTGGTTTCAACACTCGGTAACAATAAAATTTTTGCAAATGGTTTCTATTTTTTTTACAAAATTATTTTTTCTAGATTATGTATATTATATAGGCAAAAACCAGTTATAAATAACGATAAGATAAGAATAGTAAGACTTTTGATAAACATTAAAAAACAGGTAAGATACTTTGTACAATTGAACTTTTTTTGTATTCCCATCTATTTGAAAAAATACAAATCTTGTGAACGCTGTGTTGTTTAATCTAAGTATTTTTCCATTAAATTTCTAAAATTTAATACATCCGACAGGTCAAATAACGTTTACAATATTTTTGTTGTTGTTTTTTTTTTTGCATATTTCTACATGAACAGGAATAATTTTATAAACATAATTTCACTGCTTTAACGCAGCGACTAGTGTTATGAGGTGTTAGTATGTGTATGTACAGAAATTTTTTTTTTTGATGATTTACATGTTGAATTTATTTATATATGTATAACTGTTATGGTGTAAAAAATGTATTTAACCATTCATGAAATAAGATAAATACACGCAGATAATATATTACTTGAGTAAAATCTATTGCATAATTACTCGCCCTATACTGGCAGCAGTGGCAGCGATAAATATTATGCGTATAAGCACAAGACATACTAAGCAGATGTGGTGGTATTTATAAAATCTAGTACAAAGTTTGAAACAATTTTTTAATAGAACTTGATTGAGCAACCAAAGTATTTAATTTATTACATTATACACCAAGTAAGTTAAGTTACTTTGTTTTTTAATCAATGATTTGAGAAACATTCAATTTTTTTTGAAGAAATAATAATTAACACTAAAAAAGAGGAACTTGCGACAAAACGATCGCAAAATAATCACTGAACTTTTGAGCATTCATCACAAAAATTTTCGCAAAATAATTTTCGAAAACTATTTGCAATCACATTGGAGGTATAACCAACGCTTGTGTATTTTAAAAGTTTATAATACCTACATATTTAGAGTTTTTCCATTAATAAATTACTTTGTGTAACCATTACAATTTTTACTAATAAGAAAAAACCGAATTTTAAATAATACAGACAAATTGTAAATATTATCACTGGTAAGAACACGTAAACTACATGCTAATTTTTTTATTTACTGCAATGTTTTTTATGCGGTTTATTTATTTGAATTGTTTTGGTTCGAAATTTTTTCACCGCCTATTTAGCTCATACGTTCTTCAATAAGTATTTTTTGTACAAAATAATTTTTTTTAATTTCGAATGGTTTCACGTATGTATAAAACATATATTTATGTATACACTACATGGTAATCGAATACTCACTCGTCTCTTATTTAATTGGCTATTGAAAAAGGAGTAACATCATGGACATATTCAATAAAATAGAAATTTTACATAAATGAAACATGACATAACCGAGTATCAATTATGGTGTGATGGTGTAGTGTGTACATATGCATGGCATAAATTAAAAATAGACAGAAAACAAATCATTGCATTCTAACAACAGCGTATATCATAAGTTTAACAGAACAATAGTATGTTTAAATAGTTATTTATTAATTTACTTGACACATTAAAATATTGCAAAATTAGAAAAATTAATAAAACATCTACGAGTAGTTTAAAAAATGTAAGTGGAATTTTTTTTTTTTTTTAAATTGTTTTTTTACTGAATAAACATACTATAATAATATAAAACTCAAGTTAAAATTCACCTCCTAAAATAATTATTAATTGTAAAAAAAATGAAAAAAAATTGTACAAAAAAACACATGAATTTATACACATTCATATTTTTCAATTAGATTTCTAGAATCAAACAAATTGTGCTTTTACTTCAGTCTCCTTTTCATTTGTTTGATTTTTTAGGCAATGTTTATTATTGTAATTTATATTTTTCAACTGTTTGCAAATTAAATAGCACTTTCCAACAAGTAATTACAATTGCTTATGTAATACTACTTACATTACTGTCTAAATATATCAATATTAGAAGGAAGGCAATTATTTTTTTTAAAAGTTAACATGTCTTTCTCAGGCACGATTGTTACACGGAGTACCTCACGATTTCACTAAAGAAAAAACGCTACGAGTAAGTTTGCACTGGGACTTCTCCCTCAATCGCCCAAGCAAACCAACAGATGAACTGAGAGTTTGGAAATAAGAAAAAAACTCGCTTTTGCAAATGAACCAGTTTCGGACTTTGCGTTTAAGTAATATAAGAAGTGCAAAATATAATGCAAGAGCATCTTTTGTGCTAAAAGAAATTGAAGGAATTTTTTTTTTCATTGCAATTGAGTAAGTAATTTTAATTTCACGAAAGAGAATTAATTGTGCATCGAATTGAACACAAATCGTAATAAAAAAAGTGGCATTCCACCATTCCAGACATTTCTTTGATGCATGTTATGCAATTGGTGAATCTTACTAATATAAAAAGCAGAAGCGCTAAAACCGTTGTAATCGGTAATATCGGTATACCGAGAATTTTCTCTAAAATATACGGTAAAACTCTAGAAAATTTTGGGAGATCGTTTGTTTAAGTGAAACATATTTTTCGATTCGAGATGCGAGGTGTTACAAAAATTTGTATAATATAAAAAACTATTTATAGTATCCATCATTTCGATCTTTTACCTCACCGATACCGTTTTTATTGTTATTATTAATTATTAAAAAATTAAAAGAAAAAAATTAATGATGGATTGAGATGAGCGATTAGTGCGCTTACTTCAGCTCTTAGATAAAAATTTTTTTTTCGTCCAGATTTAATAAATATACATTTATTACAATCACTAAGATAAAACATTGCCGATTTGTCTCGTTTTTTGTTTTTTAACTTTAATTTAATGTTAAGAATGCCCTTGTGACTTGCACCAAGCACCATCATTAAAGATTAAAAAAGAGAAAAAAATTTACAGGATGAAGTTAGTTGTGGTATTTATTTTCGTAATTAAATCAGTTTCATGCGTATGAGGGTAAGTTACAATTAAGTAATCAGAACCATCGTTGTATGTATGTACATGCATGTAGAAAAGTTGTTTGTTATTTCGTGTATGTATTATGTATATGTTTAAATATGACTACACGAAACACTTAATTAAAATAAATGTATAAATTGTAAATATAAAATTATACTTAATCACAGTGGGTTAGTGATAATGTAAAATGTCTTTAAGATATATATTAGCGTTTTAAAATAATTCACATGAAATAACACATACTGGTTTATTTCAAAACGCATGTTTTATTTAATTATTTTAGACATCTCAGCTCATCAGTTAAAATCCTTGACTAACCGTGACTGCAAAAGTTTTAATCAATTTCATGCAGTACTTTTCAAAGTATAATATTGATTTGGAAATTATAAAAGTAGTTTACTGAGTGCAACGATCGTGCCGCATTGGGATGTGATAAAATTACTAGTTCCTTAAAATATTTTAAAAAGCCTTCACCATTTTTACACTTTGAAAAAATGACAGTAAGTTAAATTTGATTGATTTCATAAAATTCATGAATTTACTATTGAATCTCAACCACCTACATTACTTCTATAAAATAGTTTTAAGTTTTGTAACACCAATAAAAATTATATTATTTACATCATAGAGGCTTGTATATTATTTCTAGTTAAATTTGGGAATGTATGTATGAAACATTGATTTTAAGATATAAATTTTAAGACAACATTCCTCAAGATTTTTCGAAAAAAAGTCAAAACACGATTTTACATTTTTTCCCACACGATTCTCAAAAATCCGCGTATAATTAGATAAACTTTACTGTCACTTTTTTATAACTCACTCATATCCCGCTCATATTCAAATACTCACTCATAACACAAATACTTACGCACGCTATATAATATAGTTCATTTGCACTGAAATTGAATATTTTCACTCATACCGAATTAATCGTTGTCGATATTGTTCATTGTTCATTGCTCGTGCTCTTACAGCAACGATAATGACAATGACGTTGCTGTATTGGTTACAAGGAGCTGTCCGATGGTGTGCTCTCGTTGTGGCTACTGTTATGGCTCACGTGACTGATGGAGTGTTGAAGAGCGACTGGGGTAAGCCATTCCTTTGGCAAACAACGCTGCAGAAATGGTACACAGGAACTAAAGTAAGCCAGTCGGTTTACCCAACTAGGTATTTCTTGACCGCATAATATCTGTAAAAGAAAAAATTTTTTGTTTTAACTTTTAATAATTCATGTTACCAAGTGTTGTACTGTAAGAATGTATACCTGTGTAAATCGGCTACTGAAATGATTGCAATTTTTATTCATCAAGTGATAACGATCTCCTCTAAATTCTTTTCCTAATTCTTCAATTATTCTAGAAACATCCTCTTCGGTGAAATCTGTGTATCCAATGTGGACCGATTGCCTAAAATAATAATTAGCAAAATAATGAAAGAATCCTAATAATTTTTTAGTTTAAGTATATTTTATAAGAGTCACGTAATTACTACTACTACCAACCGAAATCGAAATTGTTCTCCTAAATCGTCAGCACTCCTCGGCGTTATCTCAAATATTCCTGTTATAGGAAGTAAATGACCACCATATGCATATTCTGGAAAAGAAGAAAAAAAACGAGTATTAGAAAACTTGGATTAAAAAAAAAAAAAATTGTATATATAATTTTACCTGTTCCATATATTTCAACACCAGAATGGTAAACACCTAAGCCCATTGGAGTTGTGTATTCATTGATCCAATACTAAAATAAAGTATAAGGCAAATAGTTTACATAATTGTAACAAAATGTTTAATTTGAAGAAATTTAAAATCTTACCATATCATAGACATTAAGCGTGATTGGCTCACGAGCCATTTTAGGTATCAATACTTCGCGTTCGTCAGAGAAACCAAGGCAGCTAGGAAATGACAAATTACAGCCAAGACCTGATGAGAACATCATAGAAATACTTGTACAGCAAAAAAGAAGTCACAATTCACTATCTACTGTTTCCAGATAGAGCACCTAATAAGCAGACACAAGTTTTCTAATTATCCTACAGTTATTTGGCTCTAACAAAATTAAAATCTAATTTAACAAATGTATATTAAAAAAGATCGATACGAAAACTTTAATGCACTACAAAATAAATATGTCAGCTATCGCAACGCACATAGCATAGACAGGAATAACTTAACTAGTGCAGAGGCAAGCAAATGAAGAAATCATATGATAATGCATGGCAGAGTAAATATATGGTAATTTAAAAGTATTTTTAAAGACTCTTACCTGGAGTAGCAATTGAAAATTTTCACATAATCTTTATGGAGTTGCACGTTTGAACAACAATATGAGAGCAACAATAGCAAGGGCAGTGTAAGTCTGAAGAAATGCATCAACTCTAAAGACTACGTTCCGTGTGCATGCAATGCACTTGACATCAGTGGATCTTTTGAGATGACAAACAAAAGAAAAAATGTCAGTTAGAGAACAATGCGTATCTTATATACAATAAATGCATTTTAGCAGGGGAGGAAAAGTTACGAAAAAAAAAAAAAAAAAAAAAACAACAACAGAAAAGAGGAACGGAGACGAGAAACTGAAGGAGAGACAAATCAAGGGAAAAAAGAAGTAAGTAAAAGCTATAAATAACCTAGAAACGTCACTTTCATATCCGAAGTTCTAATGGACCAGTGGCAGCTGCAGGTCAGATAATGTTACAGCGCACAGCACTATACTATGCAGTTATTGCAGCTTACGATTTCTGCTTTATACACAAAATACTTGAAACATTGTTTTTGTCAAAAGCTATATACGCGCACATCTAAAGGCCTTTAAATGTAAACTGCGCGCATATGGAAAATATAAGACTGCAGTTGTCGATAAATAAATATACTAGCTGTTATCTAGTATTTGCTAGATATTGAAAATTTTCACTTATAGATACATAATATAGAGAAGGCATAAACACTTTCACTTCTTATTCTCTATAAGTAAAGGTAGCAGACGGGCACTTGGCAGCAGCAGCAGCAGCAGCCAGGCCAGGCCCCCTTTTTCGGAGTCACGGTCGTGACGAGTGCTATAGATATGTGTGCAGGTATACTATATCTATATCGCATATTCTTTCAATCGATAGAACGGTAAATGGTAAAGGGATAACGCAAAAGTCTTATTTCATTTTATTATGATTATTATTTATTTTTTTTTTTTTATGCCTAAAAATCGCATAATGTGGGAGGTCTTGTTGCTTTATTATTAATTATTAATTTTTTTCTTTTACAGAATACTGCAGCAGCTGAAAATCATCATATATAAGACGGTGGTGATTACGACGCAAAAAAGACACTCTCTCATCTGGCGCACCCATGCAAGAAATTATTTGATGATGAAGAGTTAAAAACATTTATTATTATTATTATTATTATTAATGACTTGCACTATTGCATCAAAATCAATTACTATATTGATGAATTAGCAGTAAAGATATAATATACAGAGGATTTATTGGTAAGCAATTGATGAAGATCACTTTATCGAAAGACGTTTAACGGAATGTACGACTTTGGTAATTGCTGTTTCAAAGAAGAAAAATAGTAAAATTTTATAGCTATAACAACAGAAACCACACTTTGAACAAAATATTTTAAATTTTTTAGCTGTTATCAATTCTTAAATTTTAATTTAAAAAAGAGCGAAATTTTTTTCTAACACCCCCCAGCACCCAATGCAATAAATTTATACATGTATATTTTAATATATAGCATTGAGATTTTAGGGATGAGGAGGAGGAGTCAATAATAAAAGATTGTGCTTTGTTCGATGAATTGATGGATACTGTTGTTGAATCAGCAAATCGCGTATTTATATGCACATATAAGGTATATGCAGGCAATAGTGACAAAAATACACGAGCCGATAAAATGGTGATGTAGAAAGTGCGCAGGTGTTTTTTTATATTTGCGCCCCACACGCGACGGCGGGGCGCGTTACCAAAGTTACCGTCATACCGATTCACCAATACAAAAAGTGCGACTTGAATTTCATAAATTATCACTTAAACAAATATAAACGTTTTCAATTTACCGTAGAGGGTCTTTTTTAAACATCATACCGATTTTATTCGCTTTGTGGTAAATAGTACATTAAAAAAAAAATCTAATGTAGGCATAATGATTAAAATGCCAAATTGGTTGAATAAGACTTCGTTTTCACCAAAAAAGACCCCAACGAGAAAAGCTTCGGTATCGCTAGCGAGCAAAGACCTGAGCCAGAAGAGAATCGAAAAGGAACTTGGTCCCAACGTTGGAGAGATCAGGATTTGCCTTGGCGATCAGCAAGCTGTGTTTGACGGAGGTCTTTGGATACCCGGTAATAAATGTTCACACCATCGTAGTGTTGCCATTAACATCATTACTGTCAAAAGTGTTTATTGCTGTTAATTTTTATAAATGCAGAAACTGGAAAAGTTGGGGGAACGTTTAAGGAGAACGAGAAATTAAAAAAGGAAGTACAAAAGTTGCAGGAAGAAAATAACTTGCTAAAAGTGAAGTTTGAGCTTTTATTGGATATGGTAATTCACAAACGTGTCAAATTTTTTTTATAAAAATATATATGTACATTTCATATTGTATTTCACAAAATTTACAATTTAAAAATAAATAATTTTTTGTACAAATGTAACAACGAACTTGTAGATGACGCAAACTACCACAGAAGCTGATTCGCTAAAAGAAGAATACGATAATCTCAAAAGTAAGGGTCACCATGGTAGACGGCTTGCAGCATAAGGCAGTTACGCAGCAAGTTTCAATACTTGTTACACAGGTGTAAGCATTTTTTCATACTGGATTTAATTTCATTAATCCAAAATAAAGTTGAATACTTACAGTAACGTCAAAAAATATCACGTACTATCGTTACAAACTAATTAGTAAGTTCTATATAAAGTTTAACATGAAAAATGTACAATATTTATTAAATAAGTGTACTGTACAAGCTGTAAAGTATCAGTCCATAATGTTCGGGCATGTTCTTTTTGTGTGACCTGTAACAAACAACACATTTTGTTTATATTAGATTATTGAAATCGAAACAATGATTACTGCAAATTGCTTAAGATGAAAAGTAGTTTTGATACCTTCGATCCCACAAACGCCGCATTTTCGTTTTGTTCCCCCAGCCGTGGGAGCCCGACTTTTTTTCGGTGCAGCACCTGTAGCACCACCACCACCTCTACCCCTCCCGCGACTCGGCCCCGATGGCCCTGGTGGATTCCAGTTATTACTGTTTCCACTATTACCGCTGTTTCCACTGACGGTATCTGCCCATTGGAAAAAGCCACATGAGCTATTAACACCACTTGGACAGCTATAGAACTGCCTGCCTTTATTTAACCCGTCTTTCTGTACAGTTAACCTACAACAATCGATAAAATGGCATAAATTGTTCTACAGTATTTTGACATTGATGACGATGTAACGTACTGTCTCGCAGGATTCCCGCATTTACACATGACTTGGTTGTCATCATTCCAGTCACTTGTGTTGTCATTCCATTGACCAGCGTTATTATTGCTTAAGTTTTGCCTGTTATTTTGAAAATTCTGGTTCCAGTTATTTGAGTTTGATCCTTGACGACCGGATGTGCTTGCAGAATTGGAAAAACCACGATTATTGGGTCCAGACTCACTAGTCGATGCCTGTCCTGTAGAGTTTGGACACCATAAAAAGAAATCACAACTCTCTCCTTGGGGTTTTGCACACTTATAGAATATTCTTCCTGTTTTTAGTGAAAAAAAAAAAAAAAAATTTAATTTTGTTATTATTATTTTTTTTATATAAATAATACTATGACGGATAAAAACATCCATCATAGATGTCAATGATTTTAATTACCTTGATTGGGGCCTTCCTTTCTAACTGTCAGTTGTTTGGCTACTTGATGACAATTACACATGATTTCGTCGGATTCTGGTTCACAGGTTCCATTAAAATTAGTGTTGAAATTCTTATTACTGCCGCCTGCAGAACCCGATGCATTCCAGGTATTAGTGTTCTGATTATTCCACGTGTTAGTCCAGCCATTAGAATTATTCGGTCTACTATTGCCCGAGGAGTTACCACCTGATCTGGGCAAGCTTGAAAAATCGTTAATCCAATTTTGCTGTCGAGGTGTCGACGTCGGCGTAGGATTATTGTTATGACTGTTGTTATTGTTAAAATTCGTTGAACGATTGCTACTGTTGCTACGACTGCTTGGATGGCTCGGCATGTTGTTCGAGTTAGCGCTTGTGGGCCGAGAGTTGCTGGCAGAACGAGTCGCGTTGCTCTCGTAACCGGAGTCAGGCAAGTCCCGTGCACGACGGACCGTTTGCGGCCGAATGCCCAACAGATTATTGAACATCTCGTCGCAACCACCCACGCAGGAGGTATACGACGTTCCAAACACTGGAAAGGCGTTGCGCGTCAACTTTAGCTTGATTTTCTTCAATATGTTGTCTGGGCACTAATGCAATTTTATCCATAAAGTGTCAGTATGGAAAACAATGTGAAAAAAGTGTCGCCAACTCAAACTGGCCAAGATAAATAAACTTAGATCACTTACCTGGGTGCAGGTTTCGTCCAAGATTTCAATGTCTTCAACGGCATCGGGAAACCAAATAACATTTTTGCAAGTGGGGAAGGCCACGCATCCAATGTACTTGCCGTTGTCCTGTCTCTTTGACTTGATAACCATGTTCGAGTCGCATTTAGGACACTTGAGGATCGGCAGGGCTTCGACGGGATCGAGAATTACCGCTTGCTCGAAATGTTGGGGTTGCTCGTCTAAATATCCTGCAAGCGCTTCGTCGATCATGTTGGCTTTGACCAATGCCTCACGAAACACCTCTCGATATTTATCGATTGTCTGTCGTCGCACTTCGTCAGGTTGCTTGTGCCCTTCACAGATCCTATAATGGAATCAAAGTTACAAAACGCAAAACAGTTAATTTTATCTAGTAAAAAACTATCATAGCTTGGAGTAATCCAAATACTAACAGTTTGAGGTCATTCTCGAGTTCGGCTCGGAGGTGGGGTTTGGACATTTGGAAGCCCATTCGGTCGTAACCCATGACAAGGCCGATACCGAGCTTACCCGGTATAAGATACTTTGTATCCTTGAGACCGACGTAATGTCGCGACTTGATGGTTTCGATGTGCTCAGCGTGGGTCGCATCTGTACCAATGCCATGTTTGTCCATTAGAGCTATTAGATCGGCTTCAGTGAGTAGTTGGGGTGGCGACGTTGTCTCTTCGAGCATGTCAATAGAGGTCGGCATGAAGGTTTGGCCACGTTCATAGATGTGTATTTCCTTGGAACTCCACTTTTCGTAAATATAAACCTCGAGATAGTTTTTCGCGATTATTTGCAGGCCGTTTGTCAGAAACTTCTCACCGGCAATGTCGATTTCAACGATCGTCTCGTAACCCTCGGCGTTCTTCGATAGGCATGCCAAAAAGTGGCGCACTACAAATTCGTAGACTCGTGCTTCGTCACCTGAAAATAAGTATTAACTTTTAATTAATTAAACAAATATAAGCCACTATTACTATTATTGGAATAAAGTAGCAGTGAACGTAGTACCTTGTAACGAATCGGTATACTTGGTTGGGTGAATGGGTGGATGAGCCTGATCGCTTTTTTTTCCCTGCCTTGGAGTTATTCCTTCTTGGAGTAATCGTTGAGCAAACCCACCCCAAGCGACAGACTCAGGTGTCTGAAGAGTAACTAGTGATACCAAGTTCATTTCTTTAGGAAATATGTTGGTTTCCGTTCGCGGATAGCTGATGAACCCCTGTGTGTATAATCTCTCCGCAATTTGCATCGTTGCCTTTGCGGTAAGTTTAAGTTTTCGGGAACCCTGTTTTTCCAATTCCTGAAAGCCAAATTGAAAAATTTCTCAATGAATGTTATTGGGTTTATTTTTTGGAATTGAATCATTTTTTTTTCCTACTTACAATTGTATCAAGAGGCAATGGTCTCCACTTGCTTTTTGGCTTGCTAGTGACTTTTTCCACCGTGGCTTGTGGATTTTCTTGGCAAATGTCTAAAAAAACCTCGCATGGTAGCTTTTCAAATAACCTGTTACGAGCCCACCTGTATTAAAAAAAAAATGCAATTGCGATAATTTGCAACCATTACTTTACAATATATTTGCGTGTATTTTATGTAAAAAGTCATCATTAAATGGTACCTGAATTCAACCTCGAGATCATTTTGAGTGTGAGTCACTTTTATTTTCCAATAAGGTTCTGGTTCAAATCTTTGAATGGCCAGAAATCTTTCAACAACAAATCCTAATGTAGGAAACTGGCATGGGCCATAACTGATAAGCATATCAGATAAATTTCTGGGAAATGTTTTTTGCAATCTTAGCGTTTGAAATCTTGTAAAAGCAGCGCCTAAATTTAGTTTCGTAAATCAAATCATTGAGTTTTAAAATCAAGTAAGATAGGATTAGCAGATAGCATATTTTAAATTACCTATCCTCAAATCTAGTTCACTTCTAACATCAACAGCATCACTTAAGTTTTTATTTGGTTCTTCTAAATTTTGAAGGGCTCTTTCGATGGAAATCTGAGTGATTTCAGAAAATTTTGCTCTATAAATTAGTAAAGTATTATAAATTTCCGAGACTTGTTAAAAAAGTAAATTCAGAATCAAACGTGATGTTTACCTGTATACTCTAATGTTTGGTTTGACAGCTTGGCATACTTGGATTATTTCAAATCCTATGTTTTCACCTTCTCTATCACAATCGGTCCATACTATCAAAGCTTGACAAGATTTGATCTCCTTTTCTAAAGTCTTTTTAATTTTTTCATAGGACTCTTCTTTGCACATTTTCATAACTGGTGCATCAAAGAGACTAAGCGGTGGACAGCCATACCATTTTCTGTAGTTGCCACCAAACTCATAAGTGAGCAAGTGCCCAGAAACAGAAGTCATGATCATCTGACAGTTTTGATTCCAGACACAAGCATTAAATTCGTAAATCTTGTTGAATTTCGATAAACCCTCTCTCTATAAGTCAAAGACAAAATAATTAATTTTATGCATTGAAATAAAAAACAAAAAGTACAAAATGTCACATGGTTCTTTAAACATACTCTTCGGGAAGTACCCCTTGACAAGTGTGCTGCAATATTTTTAGCGGCATCATTTTTCTCAGCCACATTTAAAACTTTCATTGTATCACTTGGTTTAGTAGAGAAATTTATTACCACATTTAAATATTGACGTATCACGCTAGAAAAAAATTGATTTTTCTTTAGGCATATTGACTGATTGATCTTGACTGACAAAGCCAGCATAACTATCGACAAAATATCATCTGCAGTGGACACATCCGTGTATATTTAGTTTGCACGAAGCAAAATTCAAAACTTTTAATAATAATAGTAATTTATGCATAAATGTTGTTTGTAGCGATTTTTTTTTACATTTAACCGAAACAGGTTATGTCATGTTGGAACAAATCAAATAGATATACACTAGTAAACACATTACACGCATGTTAAGGATCTACTTGAACACCTGAATGATTTAAAAGGTGTCAACGCTCAATTGATTGAAAATTATAAAATAATACATTAATTAATCAACTCTGGTAAGTACTGTATGCGCTCGTGAATTATGTACGAAAATCCAGCGCGAAAATTACCACAGGTGTGTTCGTCTCTTTTCCTCCAAATTCAAATGCACGAACACGCGCGTTCTGCTCCGAGTTTGTTTACTTAGTACCTATATATACTTAATAGTTTTTTCTGTACTTCTTAAATCTATAATGGGTTATATTAATATTTTACCTTTTTCCACGCGCTCTTACACCCAATAAATAAATAAATGAATTTTAAGTAAATGAGAATATTGATTTTTTAATTGTTGACAACTGTCAAGTCAGAGAGAGGCTCTCTAATTGTCAACAAACCGATTTAACGATATAACCCCTTTGTTTTAAAGTAGTACATTACGGACGAGTTTGCAAAGGCTTCGATTTACGAACCGAGAGGTTTACGGCACGAGCCGAAGGCGAGGGACGTAACGAGGTTCGTAAAGAAGCCTTTTCGAACGAGTTTCGTATAATATTTTTCCGCCTGAGAACTTAAAATCAAGCGGCGAAGGTGCTATTTTGAAGTTAGAAGGCGGAAAACGATATTTTATTGAGACCCTCGGTGCTCATAAAAAATGTAAAATTTATTCTGCCATTGCACGGAAATAGGATAGATAATCTATCGTGAAAATTTTCTAAGAGCTAGACATAAAAATTTTGTGCTGCAAAAAAATAAGGTACTTCTGAGTTTCAAGTATTAATCATTGCACATGGAGAAAGATCCGTTTTCTGACTGGAACCAACATAATCTGCATTTTACCCTTTTTTACACGTGGTGTGTTCTTCTTATTAAAAAAGTGAACTTCTGTTGATCGACTTTGCCGAGTGAAAAATTAGTAAATGTGTTTACAATCAATGATTGTAGTATCGATTCCTAATTTATTTGGTCACTTATTCACTGTACTTTTTACGACTGTTACGCAAAGTAAAAGTCCGAGAACGAGGCAGGCAGTCAGATCAAAGGTGCAGATACTTAGAGAAATTTCAGGTAAGTGCTTATAAGTACCAATGTCACCATAGGTAATTATTTGAAAACCATATTTTTTTGGTCTTACATATATACCTATTATATTTCGTGCAATTACATTTTAGTTTAAATTATTAGTAAAAAAAGATGCTAATTTGTTGTTTTTATTTTTTCCAAAAAACAACACGAATATCCATTTTTGTAATTCAAACTTTTCATCGAAACAATCCTGAAATCGTACAATGTTTAAAGCTGCAATAATATTTAAAGAATAAAAAAGGTCCCGTTGAACCAATAATCCAAGTGACCTAAAATGCTCTGACCAAAAATCTTTGGCTCATGAGTGAAAAATCGGATCGCTCAAATTTGCTCGAAGATAGGTCTTAAAAAAACCAGTTATATTGGTTTTATTTATTTTGCAGTTCTTGTCTTCTATTCTGCTACATCACTCGATCGGTGTTTTTGCGACGGACTTTTTTTGTTTTGACTCAATAAGTTTTTTTATTTTCGTGACTCTTGTACCTGTTTTTTNTAATTTCAAGTTATAAATGATAACAGCCATATCATATAAAATTATGTTGTCTATAGGTAAAGAAATGTTTAAAACTCATTATGAATGCATGTCGTATTGCCGTGTAAACAAAGACAAGGAAATAAAATAAATTTATGGACAAAAATAAATTTAAAAAAAATTTTTAATAAAGAGACATGAGTTTTAGGTTCTGTATTTATTTTTATGTATCTCACTTGGAAAACTTCCACCTTTTTCATCATAATTATTTTTAAAAAACAAATGAAATTCGACCACTTAAAATTAATTATATAATTATGACTATGTAACAAACTCACTATTCAAATCATGAATAAAGAAACTTCACCGAATCATACATACAAAATTTTTCAACCAATTTAATATTGTAATTGCAGACTTGCAGTATTCCGGATACTTTACTCTCACCCACGGTAGTGTCATTAATGATCAAATAAAAATTTTTCTTAGCTCTCCGTTAGGATTTGACACGTAGGTAATCTTGAAACTTCAAACATTAAAAATATAAAATGACCACGAGTGTAATCGCCAAATGATTTTTTTTCTGTTTTTCTTTCCTTCTGTATCTTTTTTTTCATGTTTTAACACCAGAATTTTACAATCAACGATTTTGATAGATAAAGAATGACATATTTGTACTAAGGTACTCCTATCACACCAAAAAATATTGAAGTATTGTTAAAACATTCCCAGAACATTGAATCACTTCACACTTAAAAGTTAATGAACACGTATATGTTACAACTAAGACAATTATAACAGCACAGTATGTTTAATCACTTATTGACACTTTTTCAGCTCACTTAACAAAAGAAAACACAAACATTAGGAAAAATAAATTAATATGAACAAAAGTAATAATTTTATTACTCAAAATAATATCGTAAACTCGCTTCTATGCACCATAATAACAATAATTTTATTTTTCAACAATTATGTGTCATGGTGCGTATTGCATACATCCTATAAATTTTTTTTCGCTCGCGGCTTCGCCACATTTTAATGAAGGTCTATAAATATAAGCTTACAACAGCTTCTACGTGATATAAAAGATTGCGCGAGAAAAATATTTTTTTCGCTGCAGTCTTGTGTTTGAATTTTAAGCGCTTATTTTTAAAATCAATCATTAATTACGGGCCAAAAGCAAAAAAAATTTTTTAATGTATAGGTATCACAAGCTAAATAAAAATTAAATTTATTACTCCAGTCTTTTTTATAATGTACAAAATATATAGTTACATTTGTAAAGCCTTCCAAACTTTACATAGAATTTAATTGAATAATTAAAACTTTATGATATTAAGACAAAAATTTTTCAGTAGTCGGTAAATATTAATTTTTTGAAATATGTAACAAATCAGCCAAACTAATTGATAAATTTTACACATTACTCGTACTCAAGCGAATTGATTCCTATTTTCTCTTGAAATTATCTTGATTATACACTTTCAATTATTTTCTAGACACGCACCTGTTAGATTAGGTTGTTTTTCAATTGACATTTGTATATTTATGCACATTATGCAATTTTATATGTTTTTTTTCTTTCTTTTATCTTTCTTATTATTCAAAAGTTCGTTAAAAAAGCCGAAAAAATTATTCGCGTGTATAATATATGTACGATTGTATAAACCAGCACTTTTTATTTTATTTAGTTTGTTTATATATTCGTGTTTATAACTATGTATATATTTTTTTCAGCTGTACACACAAGACAATTTATACACTTTTTCGCCGTTCATTTAAATGTTTATTTATTTATTTTTTTTTTGCAAAGCGTGTTTGGACATATACAACGTTTAAAGTTCTCAAAAGCTTCATAGTTTTTCATGTTTTCTAATTTTAATTTAACTGCGTTTTACACAGAGTGTACAGTCACTTATCAAAATTCGAAGAGGACAGCTTTATAGGCACTTTTAGGACAAAAAACTAGATGAAAATTTTTAAATTTGCATAAAAAAATTTAATTGTATTTTTCAATTTTCGTGATAAACGTTGCTCATACAAATAGATAAACGTTGAAATTTTTAAAATATTTTTTTAGTTGATTTAATTCAAACTTAAAATAAAAGTGCCATTCAACGGCTGGAACAAGTAATAACGGATGAAGAAGAGTGTCAAGTGGCTTAGCGTATTTCTATTTGCGTATGAAATCTATATACAAGAATCGACGGAATTTGCTTCGCTGACTGCTTTACTTTAAATATATATGTATGCATATATTTATTTCCTAACGAATTATGCTTTATTCACAATCATTTCAAGTGATTCTTTTGGTTACAAATGATAGTAGGTAATTTTTTTATTGCTATGTATTTAATTATCCTATATTACCTACTCGCATGACTTTGTTATGTAGTACTTAATGGATGAAACACTCATTCAATTTCCCTGACAATTTTCTCATCTCTTTTCAAACACGTCCATACAACAATATGCTGGCTATAGTTTATGACTTTTACGTAAATATGGAAATGATGTTATGTACTACAAGAATTGTCGATTAGTTGATTGATTGATTGACTCGTCACGAAAATACAATAAATAAAAAGAACAAAATTCTGATAACAAGATATTTTCAATTTTTTCCATGAAAAATCACACATGTCCTCACAAGCAAATCGGCATTGTAAAAGCGTTGGCCCTCGGTGCACATCCAACGAGGATAGTCAAAAAACTTTTTAGAATTTTGAACTATCACTGCAAAAATACACCAGAGTACGAAAAACACTGCATTTCGTTCACTTGGAAATTACTTGTTTCACAGGACATTATCGGAAGACCACAAAGTTTTTAAATCTTGATGTGTCAAAGCTACGTCACATATTAAAGGACAAATGAAAGTTTGAAAATATCATATGTTTTTAAAAATTTTATTTTTGTTTTTCGTGCAAAAATCATCATCATGGCACTGCTTTACAAACATTTGCAATACTTATTGATCGATCGTGTTTGACGCGTGAAATTAATCCCAGCCATTAGAATTCAACTGAGAAATGAAAAGTAATAGCATTAAGTACAAGTAACTGAAACGCATATCGAGGGGTATTTCTCATACAGAGATATAATGATTTAATCTGAGATCCTCATAAACCCCCAAGTGTGCACGATGTGATTTCGAAAGTACAGCTAGATTTTGTAGCGCCAGACGAGAATTTTTCTTTTCGATATGGAGAAACACAAGACGGACGCTGAAAATTTAAATTATGGAGAATAATTTAAACACAACAAGCGCGCAAGGACAACCGTTAAATCGGTAAATGTGAATTTTTAATCGTCTTGAGCAGTTGAGAAAGTTATGTAAGGCTCGAAACGCGGATTTCGAGTACAAACCTCTATGTTGAAAAAATATAAACGTTATAGGTATTCTTTTACGTAATACACACCGATCAAAAGAATCAATAGGTGATGGAATAGAAAAAAAGCAAAAAGAATTTTGATCGACTACTTTGATGGGAACCAAAAAATCGATTTATTGTTCATCTCGTCGTGAATCCCCTTATGTTATAAATACATAATTACATACACGTACATGTACACAAAAGAAAAGAACAAGTTAGTAAATCGTACGTATGAAAAAGGTGACCTTTGGCTACAAACAAGCTATACGTGGGTCATATTATACGTAATATATTAGTTAGTCATCAAAGCCCACGAATCATACTCACTTTGTGCCCACTGCATCATAAAATTAATCATCCAAGTACACTCGTACACGCATACATGTCAAAAAAAAAAAAAAATAAAAAATAAAAGACTAGGAGTAGAGCGCGCCCATCACTTGCAGCACATGTATAGGTACAACCAGACTTATCTCTGGGTACAACTGTTTCATCGTACATTAGCTCCACATATGTATATATATATATGTAAATCTTTAAAAACATTGCTTTTTGCCAGAAGCTGCACGGACGAATTTCACAAACGCCCGCGTACTGAGGGATGTAAAACATAACAGAGGAAAATACGCACGGGTAGTGTTATTAGAGAGCTGGGTTGGATTCGCTGGTGCAGCGGCCGTGCGAGAGAAAGCTGAGCGGCGGTGGCCTTTGCGATCAGAAGAGGCCGAGCTTGCTCTTAAGGAATTTCTTGATGGGTCCGTAGCACCGGTCGCGCAGGGCGATCATCTGGGGCGTCTTGCGAAGGCTCTCGAAGAGCTTTGAGTCCGTCTCGAAGACGAGGACGGTCACGACGAGGAGCACGGTCACGCTGAGCATGAGCGCGGGCACGAGGAGCCGGACGAGCTGGGCCCGGCAGCCGCGCAACCGGTGCGAGTACTGCACGGAGGAACTGCCGCTAGAGGCCGTGGCCGCCATGTGAGCTTGGCGGGGGGCTAGGTGGCGCCCCGGTATGCCGGCCGGCGAAGTGATGCCGCTGCTTGGGGACGTCAGGCTCTGCTGGACGTTGCAGATCTTGGAGTTTTGGAGCCGTTGGACCTTGGGGACCGGGGCGATCGAGCGACTACTGCCGTGGGGACCGGCTTTGGCGCTGAGGCTGCCGGTCTCGAGCAGCTGACTCTCCGAGGACGAGTGCTCGAACGAGTCGCGGAAGTAGTAGTCGCTGCCGTCAAAGTCGTGGCAGACTGTAAAAAGGCAGGTTCCCTGTTTAATCCTTGGGTATACGTCATTTTTTTTTATCAGGTATATACATATACATAACGCATTGAAGACTGGATCGAGATTCGATCATTTTTTCAATTGTTTCTGGCTTGTATCACAAAGTTTTAATATTCCACTCTTTTGCCCATATTTGGCACGCTTGATCGTTAATACATACACACATGTGGCTTTTATTCAGTAAGGAAAAAATTTATACTTTAGACATGCAAAAAATCCATGATCATCCCACTTGTTATCGCAAAATAAAACGCGTGCTATGCTCGACAGATTTGCCTATCCGTCTGTTGAACATCTTTTTCGGTTTTCATTAAATTTTCGGCGTTGATTTTATTTAAACTGATTTTTATTATTTCTGCATGTATTAAGTTTTGGGATGAAAAAAAATAAAAAAATAAAAAAATAAATTCATGCACACAGCTAATAAACTAAAAATACATTCATGTTCTAAACTACTATGCAAGTACAATATATAATAATTAATAATGATATTAATTGTTGAACAGAAAATGAAAAAATTGTAATGCAAAATGATCTCAAGAACAATAGAATAACGTAGCAAGTGTACTTGCTCGGTATACCAAAGTTATTTAATAGAAGTAAATAAGTCCATACTTGTATATGCATGCAAGTTTTTACATGATTCACAGCGAATCTTAGTAGGTATTTTATTTATGAAAAATAGACAATAGCAAACACTTAATGACTGTATTGAATCGTCATATTATCTAAATACTCGTGATATGAACGGCAAAGCTCAATGTAAGAGCAATAATGAGGTGAAAACAACGATAACAATAAACTGCGCAAGGCGACGAGTAATAGTGTAATGGTATAGAGGTGTCCCGTACACATTTAGGAGCATCAAAGTAGCTACTACTTATATAGTTGTACAAAAATTCATACCCAAGTCAGAGAGAACAGTATTCGAGGTGAACTAGCGCCGAAGAGCTTGAGCCAAAGTTAAAACTAAAACCTGTTCTATTTGACTTGTTCAAAAAAAAAAGAGCCCCAATTTAGCGCCATTTCATAATGTGAAAAAGCATCATGCGGCAATAACGCATACTAAAACCTGTCCTGCGAGTATCACCTCGAACACGTTTGGGGTTGAGGAAATTGTTTGTATACGTTTTTTTGTGTATTCCGAACTTGCCGTGCCATTTGATTATCGGTTCTTCTTTCAAACGTGTCCTTAAGATGCAAATAAATATTTCTTATTTGGAAGAAACGACCGATCCATCGGCAGTAGCAGTATAAGTATATACAATTTACAAATGCAACAAAGTAACGATAAAAATGGAGGTACGGAGCGCTGTTTGTATATATAATAGATACAAAGTTGAGGGGGATTAGGTATCTACAGATGGGGCGACCGAGTGTCTGCGTGTGTACATAATGTATGGTAGTTGTGCGCCGTGTCCGCGTCGACTCACCTGCAGCATCGACGTCGTCTTCTCCCGGTTGGCTGGCATTGCTGGATTGCTGAACCCCGTCGCCGGTGTTTGGCTTGAGGTCGCCGTTGGGCACGAGCCTTTGGGCCGGCTTTGGTGGCGCTGCGATCGCAGGTGTCGACGCCGCCGGCCGGGTCTTGGCCGGGGCGACCGAGCGCTTGACGATCAGGGCGGTCGACCTCACGACTTTCGGGCTCTTTTCGAGGGCATGGATTTTCTGGCGCACGACGTTACCGATATCCTGGCCGGACAGCTCCTCGGAGCCTATCACGATTCTCTGACTATAGAGGGCTTGCGGGCGCGTCTGTAGGGTGTTCTTGGGGTACTTTTTCAATTGTTTCGCTTGATGGTTCGTTACGAGTGACGTATCGTCGGTACTATCGCTCATTGTTGTTGCTGTAGTTGTGGTATTGGGTGCGGTATTGGTGGTAGTGGTGGTAGTGGTGATGGTACAGGTAGTTGTGGTGGTTGTGGTGGTGGTGGCACTCGCATGCGAATTCGTTTCATCTAACGCTAAAAAACAGAAAGAAAACAGACGGGGAAAAGCCCAAAATCAGAGGCAGTATAGGAAGCCAAGGAGATCGTAAAACAGATTATGAAGAGGAAGAGAGAAAAAAAAAACAATAGAGATAATAAAAGCTACGCGACCTCGATCTCTTACATTCCATACATTTTTAGCTTGTACAAGTCGGACGACTGAATTTGCCATCTCTTGCTCACGGTATGGATGTATATAGTTACACATAATTGAATTATTAAACTATTTGTCGGGTAAGTATTTTGTGCGCATAGCTCATTGATGCAAGTTGTAGGGGATAGTTGGACAATTAGATCTCGCGTGTACCGTGAGCTCGTGCCAAATTCAGGCCTCTCTGATTATACGCGGCATCAACGGAGGCTAAATTTGTTGGTGAAAAGAAACAATACTATTCAGTTGATTTGAGATGCTCAATAAGCATGTTTTCAACCAAACTTTGCCTCCATTAAAAGAAATAAACAAAGCCAATATCCATGCAGTTTTTCGGTGACTATTTCAGTGATGATCAACATTATTTTATCAAACATGCAAATATATATCATAACTGCCGTGTGTATGTATTTTTTAAAAGTACAGTTTAATTTTTTTTTATCCTATAGTTATTATTAATTTTTTCTTTTTCTTTAAGCGCAAAATATAACATACTTTATTGTATTCGTTTATGCGTTTGAAAAGATTTGTGTGTCAAGTCGACCTAAAACTCGATGGAGACCGGCCGTACCTATTATCCTGTAGATTTTTACGCAGTGCTTTCATATTATTTTGCACAATTACCAATGATAATGAACATTTTACATTTACTTCGCAAAGTGTGATGCGAAAAAACCACAGGATTCTCTTTACAAGAGTATCAAATAGTTTAACGAAGAAAAAAAAAAGAACTTTCCCTCAAATTATCTTAAAAATTAAACAATGTACAATAATGGAAATGGTGAAACACAAATTTGAACGATGAAACTCGTCGGGTAGTAAGATTAGGAAAAAATTAATTTCCACAATGATAAAGAAAGAAAGTACCGTAATGATGAGATGGATTAATCATTACTTGAAAATATGAGTCGCGTCAATGTATACGATAAAAAAAAAAAAAAAAAAAAAATGTACACACGCAGCATCGGGCACCTACCGTTGTTCCTTCTGGTGTGTATCTCCTGGTCCTCGGAGACCGTCTCGAGAAGCGGTAACGTGTTGTCGGGACAGTAGGGCGAACTGAGGGGCATCCCGCTACCGATGTCGGACATGCCTGCGCCGTCTAGCCCGGCACTGTGGCAGCTTCTCGGTAAACTCGAGTACCCTGTGAGCAATGGTTTTTTTTTTTTCATTGTAGAAATTTGTCACGCCCATCAAGCCACACATCGAATCATCAATAACCCAATGTGCCGCTAACAAGTAAACACACACATAATACACGCATACACGTGGACGTGCAACATTGCTGCCTACGCTTTACGGGGCTGATGTTGTTTTAATTGTTTTAATTGTAGTTTTACAATGGAACATCATCTCCGCATGGTTATGTTGGTGAGACTCTATAGCCACGGGGGGAGTTGTATGTTTTATCGATTATTTTGAAAATTTAAAAAACAACTAGACAAAAAAAACAAATGCTAATTTTCACACACATGCTGTACATATATATTATATCGATGTCAGATACTTGACAGAAAATTGGTTAAAGTTAAAATATCATCCAATCCAACTTTTTTGTTGTTGATGTGACATTTAATATATTCGACGCGAAACAAGTTTTCAAAATGTTCATTTCTGTATACCAGGTTTTAATATTTATCGTAAGAGCCGACTGTAAAAAATCCGTAAACCCCCGAAGACAAAAAAAACAGGTGTAAATGTAACAAAAGATGATTGAAAATAGAAATTTTTCTCTCGCCATCATCCTTTAGTATAAAACTTTGTAAATAAAACTATGACTGAACCAGGGTGTGGATGACAATTATATATCAAATGAATGAAGATATCCTTTCGCGCGGAGTATAGATCTGATAAAAGGTAGGTATACTTATTGCAACAACAACTAGGTACAACAATGCACACAACTCAAAACGATAATTGTATGAGGGTGTGGCGTATGCATCTACCTAGACACATGATACATACGATGAAAAAAAAAGTCCGGGGTGATGCGCAATCGGTGGGTGTTAAAACCATTTGAATGTTACACGTGTTTGTGTAAGGTACATAGCGATGTGTCGCATGTATATGTATATGTATGCGTGAAAAGTGTGTACATATGTGTGTGTGTATGTATAAGCATCGTGCCGCTATCTGCGTGTACTAACGAATTTCAACAAGGTCCTGACTGGGTGTGCTGGGCGTCGCGGGCACGCTGCTGGCCTTTCTCCTGAGCCCGGTCGAGCTGCCGCACCGCTGTATCGGGGGCTCCTCCTTCCGCAAGGGACCCGACTCCTCGAGAACCTCGCGCTCCGTGCGGCCCGTGTACTTGAACTTGGTGCCCCAACTGAAGATCGAACCGCCGCTCATCACCGGCGCGTCCGAGGCCCGCGGCAACCTGCACGCGATGCGCGTTACGTCATTTGCAACATATATTTACACACCTACTCTTGCTCCTTTTACTTTCAACATCAAGTTACATATATATTATATATACGTGTGTGGGTGTCCACGATTATAGCTGCGGCTGATAATATATTATATGCTCTAACTCTAGGGTTGATATTATATATCTTTGTCTACCTTTACATTTTATCATCTGTAATTGCGTTCTGTGTGTACATACGTGTGTGTCATCTTGGGTGCCAAATGGTGGTCATTGGAATAATTGCAGTTGCCTTTTACAAGGCTGCGTTTCAATAAAATGGGGAATGACTTTGTTTTTTTTCTTTTTTTCATTTTCCTTCGAGAGGAGTTGTATTTTTTTTTTTTTTTCCACCCCAGTGGAAAAAGTGTCCAAACGTGACGTTTTTCGAGAGCACCGGACGATTAATTGTCATCGGCGGGAAATAAAGAAAAGCCCGAACAAACCACTCGAGTTTTTTTTTCCTTCATTTTGGATGCCTGCCAAAACTGTCGGCTCGCGAGTATGGAGTTTTTTTTCTTTCTATATTTACGTACCAAGCGACTTTTGTGAACAATCGCCATGTGATCATATACAAAGTACGCCCAAATGAGCAAACGGAGTTTTTTAATTAACGAGTCCGCGTGTTTCTTTTTTTTTTTTTTCGTCCATCTTTATAATAGAAAAAAAAAAGCCTAAAGTAAAAAAGTCAGAAAGACGCGCCGAGCAAAAGTTAAGAAAAACTTTTCGTAGTTTGTTTTACCTGCATGCATAATTCACACGGTTCTGGATTCCTCCAGGAGTTCCCACGATACATCAATTTATTTCCACGATAGGAGACGATAACTCTACATTAATGTCTTTTTGACCCTATAGTGAGGTAGGATACTTTATCATTTTAATTAATAACTCTTATTCACGATGAAAAAATATTAACATTTCATAACGCGATATGCCATCGTACGAAATCGTAAGTGGGACTATACTTTACAAAGTTAAACATCAAAGCGCTTACTCTTATATATTATGTACGACGGACGCGTAATTTTGTGGGTATGTGTGCCTATAAGCATGAATCGATACGTTAAAAAGAGTTGAACTTTGAATTGTGGTCGAATACTTTTTCCGATACTACATCCTATACATCGCTTTGGATGATATTATTAGAAAAAATGCACATTCAAGTGTCAATGCAACTGCAATCATTTTATTAGTTATTATGGTAAAATTTTGTGTTTGGGCGTTTCAAAGATTGTTTTAATACACATAAATATATATCTAGACAAATGTAAACTCTAAGGGCTATAATGTATTTATTTTATACCTATAAACTAAATAAAGTCAAGCTCAAAACGGAAGTCAAAATAAAATTGATTCACACTTTTTTTAACGAAGCTTATCTTGTTATATGCTATTACTGTTGTTTCTATACCTAATACATTGAATGAATTAATAAATATTTCGAAGGCACGGCTAAAGACTAAATAAAGGAGGATCAAAAAATAAAAAAAAACTTTAAATTTATTGAACTTTGAAATACTCACGTGAAAAACAGCATCTGTTCGATAGCGCATCTCCACACGTGGCGACAATTCGAGCCCGTAGGACACTTAAATCCAACGGTGTGTTTTTTCTGCAAAATTTGCCACACTTCCAAAATTTGTCTACACTCTATCTTGTTATGTTTTTGTAGTAACGGTAACTACTACTACAACGATAAAATAAATTGCCTAATAGTAGTATTGGCAACATTAGCAAGCCGGAAGTATTTTACACTACTTTCGTATAGCTGTAAAGAAATATTAATTTTTCTACCACAAAAAAAAAAAATAAATAAACAAAAAAGTTCTGGCAGAGAAATGAAGAAAAAAAACTCATCTTGTGGTGGAATCGTACCGCAAGCCTTTTAGCCAACAATACAACACGAAACTTTCAAGTGGGCCAATATTGAAAAACAACTATGCCTGCGATGCGATAAACACTTTGGAGTTTCGTACGCGCGAGTGTGAATGTGTGGGTATCGTGGTCCGACGCGATCACGGGAACCGAACTTGCGATCTGGACCGAGTGAAGAATAAGAGAATGTACATGTATAAGTACGTGTAGCCCGCACACTCACCTTTGTCCTCATGTCCTGGAGAAAAAGCAGAGCGATGACGGCAGCAACAGCGGCAAAAGGGAAGCATAATGGGATTACTTAAGTACTTTGCGTTGAAAACAACTAATATATTATGTGATACTCTCGAGACTATATTTTACGTGTATAGGTGTGGGTACAACTTATAGTCACCCGCACCCATTGTCAGACTTGGACACGATTGCTTTATGGGATTTTAAAGAAAAACTTTCTTTTTTTCTTTTCCTTACAAAGGGCATTTTTTATTCATGACTATTCACAATACAATACGGAGAAAAATTTATTTTCCAGCAGATGAGGGCAATACAATAGAATTTAGTGTAAATTGTAACTCGTTGTTATTTACAAAAAAAAAAAAAAAAAAAAAAAAATTTCTAAGCACCGTATTATTTTGTTCAGCATAAATACTTAGTATGCATTTGCAAAAAATCAAATTGCGAAAAAATTGGAAAAAGCATCCATGCCCAAGTCTGCCCATAATTGTCTGTATCTACTATTTATACTACACATTAATTAAAATAAGCCTATATAAATATATACGTTGTAGAACATAACGTTGATCTACACTACTGTAATGTAGTATGTACTGTTATTGGGCGGTTGGAAGGACGCAATCCAGTGTATAATAATTGTATTCTTTGTAGATATTGTTGCTGTGGGTGTACGGATTAAACTAGCGTAAATCGCGTAAGTATGAAAATAAAAAGGAAAAATCCAAGTGCAGCGAAGAATCGGAGGGGGTTCAAGAGCCAAGGTCGCGCGCGCCACCACCGAAGCCCCACGTACGTTTTATCGCTCTGTCAATAATCTCATAATCGTCAAGCATATAATTATTATGGATGTAGGTAATTTTAGAAGATTTTTTTTTTCTCAAGCTCGCTTTATAAGCTCCTGAATTCAAGTGCAAACATGAAAAGGGTGATCGGAATGTTGTTCGGTATAGCCACGTGGGTATATGTATAGTCATTTCAAGCCACGTGCCACGTATATATGAGTAAGGTATATGCATACGCGTACACGAAAACCCACTAATATATTCCAATGTCACGAAAGGATACGTAGAGTCGCGCGAGCACGCAGATAGCACTACATAATATATAACTGCGGAAACTCGCGGGTACACTGTCTCTCGAGGGAGAGTAGGGCATAGATCACACGGGCTAACCTCGTTGCGTGCACAGTGTATACCTTCTTCGTCTTTGCATGCATAACGCGATCCTATATATATATTACAACATAAATATAATGCATATTATATACGTTTCACGGTCGAGTCGACGCGTGTGTGTGTATCTAAACTGCTCGGCCGAAGGTTAAGGTGTGTACATTCAATTTTCCAGTAATTTTAAGTAAAAAGAAAAGAAAAAAAAAAAATTTAGTACCTCCGTATTGCAAAACGAGCCGAGCGCGTGGGGATATCGGCAATTTGCTTCCCCGCCCCTCTTTCTGCGCGAGAGAAACCCAACTTGTGGCTTTGATCTTTCATTCGAGCGCGACACCGTCCCACCGAGGCGATATTACAGCGGGAAATAAGGCCGGAAAAGATCTTATCGCCGAGGGTAAAGGCGGGCGATGAATAAATTCTATGGTAGGTAGTATATACATGGGAAATATATCGCGCGGATGCATCTTTTACGCTTAACGCCAAGCGCGAGCACAAAGGGATGATGCGCACCGAACAATTTTCTCCGTAGTTCATCCCTATATACATAAAAATATAATTACTACCTGCTTCAATGCACTTCCCAAGCGATTGAACTACGGATTTATTTGGGGAGGGGGAGGGGGAAACAAATAGACGTACCTCCGTTATCGTCAAGTGGACAATGAACATTTTGCCCTCGTAGTTGATCTTCTGAACTTCCGGCCAGCGGAAGTGATTGGTTTTGCGGGATCCTTGGAACGTAAGGATTCCACAGTGATTGATCCCGAGGTACAGAGGGGAGCCTTTGTGATCCTGAACGACAAGTTATTGATTTCATTATTGAGTATTCTGCATTTTACGGTGGATATAGGTTTAGTTTGAGGGATGAAATGTGATATCGGCGCTGGTTAGGTGTGTATACCCTGAAACGACAACGCCGATGGAAAAAAATCACAAAGTCGGAAGCGCTCCAGGGATGGGAGTGGTTTGACGAAGAAGGAAAAGCCCCTCGACCGGATGTACACCATCAAGCCGAGTCTCCTCCTTCGGCACAAAAAGGGAGGGAGAGAGTGTAAAGGTAATGGTATTTATTAGCCGGATGGTGGGGTTGATTGTTATTGTTTAAGAGACGTGGCGATAGGGACTGACCTTAACGGGGTGCGGATCGACGGCGTAGGTGTCGAGCTGGGCGGCCAGTTTGAGGAACTGGAGCTCGGCCTGCTCCGGCGAGAAGCCCTTGAGTTGCGTCTGGTGGAGCTCGAGCGCCCTCTCCTCTATCGTCTCGGTCTGCTTCAACAGAAGCTTGTGCTCGGCCATGTAATTGCCCTCGTGCAGCTCCGGATCGTAATCCCCCAGCTCACCTGGAGTCGTCACATTGTCTCGATATACATTGTATTTTGTTACTATACTATTTCACTTTGGACCCCCCCCCCAAACCTGCTTTTTTTGCAGTCCCAATTAATAGATTTGTACAGACGCGGAGAAGAGCCAACGCGAGCACCCGAAAAGAGGGGCCCACGGGGAAAAAAAAAAAAAAAAAAAAAGGGGGGGAAAAAAAAGTAATAATAATCACTTTGTATGATGCAGGCCGCCAGCAGCGCTGCCTCGCCCGGGCTGCAGTAAAGCCGGCCGTGGAGCAGGTCCCTTTTCAGCTGGAGGTAAATCTGATAGCGCGTTATGTCCTCCTTCAGTCGCAGCGGATCCGGTGGGTAGAATTTCACCCGGAAGCTAAAAAGAATCGGATCCATGTCTGCAACAGAGACCACCCGACCCGACCTTTACAAATCATCCCCGGCTACCTCGTATTATATACATATACCTGCATCATCGCGGTTTCGTTTACAGAGCAGTGCACGAGTCATCGGCTGCTCCAAAAAATAAAAAAATAGGTAAAGAAAAACGCCACCCAGACAGTCGGTGCATGTATATAATATAGATAGATAAGCTGTAAAAGTTTCATGGTCGTCGTCTCGGTGCTCGCCCATATACAATACCGTGTATATACTTGTGCAGCAGCCGGGAGCTAAAAGGGGTAGAAAACCCCCGGACGCGTGGGCATCTTTATTATTTTACATCTGCCCGTAAACGTGCCCCTGTACAGGTGTATACGTATCCCGAGGTGCGTGGTACCCGTGGGTGCCAAACGCGCACAGATACTAGGCGGTGCCAATCCCATCGGAGACGTTTAAACTTTTACGGACGGCAGCTTCGGGGGGGAGGAAGAAAAATATATAGAGCCGACTGCTATGTTTACGCAACATGAATGATTTACACCGTTCCCGGACGACTCTCTGGGTATTGCGGTTGCGCAACTGTAGCCCTCCCTCCCTCTTCTTTTCTCGCGTTCATAATCCACTATACCCAAAATGGAATGGAATGATATGTCCCGCCCCCCGCGCTACCGAGTTATGGGAATCCACGTCTGATCGACGCCGGACTCTACTACTTAATTTCGATGATGCACGTACATGTATACATATTATTATATTCTCATGGGTACATTTTTTGTGTTTTTTTTTTTTTTTTGTGATCGGTGACTCTTCTTACCTTTGACCTGTTTTATCGCCGTTTTCGCCAAGTCTAACCAATGCTGAAACACAAACTTGATTATAATAAAAAAGGCAAATAGTATATAATATAGGTATAACATGTATACACCTAACAATCCTCCGAATGTACTTTCTTTTTTGTCCGATAAACAAAATCAAGGCGGTTTATCGATTAGCTGCTTCGATCGGTTGTTTGTCCCATTAATCGAGCTATAGTCTATCATGGGTATATCACAATTGCAGGATATGGACTCGAGGTCGAAAAAACCCACACCCATCGGTCTGATGTTTGCGCTCTCATTATATCCCGGGTGTACCCGCCGCTCGAGTCGAATCAGAGCTCTGAAGAGGGTTTATGGGTAAACGCGACACGCCTTGCACACTTGCATATTAACGAGAGCTCGGGGTGCAGGGTCGGGGAGGTATATATGAACTGTTAACGAGCCGACACTCGAGGATATATATGTGTGTATATGCCTGTGTGATCCGAGAACGCTCCGATTTTTCGAGCAGGTGTAGGTACACGCGTGTTTACTAATAAGGAAATATAAATCATACCAAAAAGCGGAGAAAAGAGAGAGAGTACGGTTTACTTGATGATGCATAAAATAATTTGATAAATTATATGAAAAACTGCAAAACTATATACTTATGCAGGTCACTGTAAAGTATATACTCAGTCATTAAATTTACTGTGACTTTACGTGTCATGCATCATCGTATATACATATAGGTACGATTTTTGTACAACGCGTATCGAAATAAGCGTCAAATTTGTCGCGTTTGTTATTTATGCACTGTACACATACTATAATTATGTTGTGGTGTTCTTTTAAATCTATTTTAATCATAGCAAAAGTGAAAGACACCGACACGACAGAGTCCAATAGTAGTTAATGTGTGAACGAAGTGTGCTTTGTTAAAACGAAAACGATGGAATGTGTCGGTAACAACTTTGAACGACCCCGACGCGGTTCGCGAGGAAACCCTTGTGGAACAATAGCGACGAGAAATTTACCACGAGGTAAGCATTGGAAAAAAAAAAAAAAAAAAAAAAAAAAACAGAGGCAAAAGGGAGGTACGCGAGAATGCAAATTTTCAACGCTGCTTTGCGCGTAACTTATTTCACGGACGAGCGATGATGATATGACGATGATGATGATGAGACGGAACGATGACTCTTTGAACTTGCGCGCACAGGAGAATGTATACGCATACGTGTATGAAAAGCCGGGACTTACATCTTCCTCTCATCTCTCGAGTGCCGCGTATATGTACACACGTAAACAACGTTGTATCCACCCAAAGCCCTGGCGCGCTCTTCAGACTCTTTTTTTTTTTTTTTTTCCTCTACAGAGGCTCGTGTACGACATTTCTTTTTTTTTTTTTTTTTTTTTTTTTTTTTTTTTTTTTTTTTNTTTTTTTTCACTGCTTGCCTTCTTTCTTTAAGCCAAAAGTCAAGTGCAGGTTATTTTTTTTCCTTCATCAGAATAGGCACTTGTGCCAAAGGGGAACGCGATTGCCCATTATTCACTGTTTTTCCGCTCGATTAATCCCGAGGCGATTGGATGGATGTGGTGCATTGGGTTGGCCCGAAAAACTCAAGTCGCGGCTTGGTCTATTAAAAAAGAAAAAGGGAGGCAAAGGGGATGGAAAAAAAAAAAAAAAAGAAAATATACCTAAATGTAAAAAAATTCGTCTTTCCTTGACTGTAAAAAAATAACATATACGCTGCTGCTCACCCTTTGTCTACTATTGTCCACGTAGCGTAGCCCAAAGTAATCAGTTTCCAAAATGTTGAGCTGCTTGCAGACATATTCGAGGATGTACTTTCCTTTGTGCTGGGGCTGAAATATTCAGTATGAAAAAAAAAAAAAAAAAACAAATCTATTATAATGGCATCATCATCCTTCAAGTAATTTGTCCCAAAGCTCCGTTACCCACCACCAAACACCGGATTAGCAAAGATTTTTCACTTTTAATTTTTTTTTTTTTTTTGCCAACGAGTTAAAACCTCACGCAGAGAGCGCGCGCTGGAAGACCTAGAAAAAAACTCGGGGCAAAAAGTATATTCTGGACGCGGTCCAAAAATCGCGGAGAACTGCTGACGCAGGACACGCACGCGTGCTGATGATGCGGCCATTGCGTTACATGTATATATATATACACCTATACCGCTCGAGCGGCCAAATTTTCCATGCAACCGCATCTGTTTGCACGATCTGTTTCCCTCCTTTTATCGCGGCGCCAATGACCAAAGATTTTGGGATGGACGAATGAAATTGTTATGCTTTTTTCTTTATCCGCTGATACGTTCAATAACCTAGAGTGCGCCTGGACATAAGAAAGAAAGCATCATCCCGATCATGGATTGATTAATAATCGAGAGTGTGCTCATTTGCAAGAATCAATGAGAGCTCTGTATATGTATGCATAAATAAATCTATATGCTGATGGCTCTATTCCTCGGACTCGTTCGGAAAGTTACGGAATAGTTTTTTTTTTTTTTTTTTTTTGTTTAGGGAACTGGAAAATGAATGAGGACCGGACAAAGGGGTTCATCGGGAAATCTTAGTGGATTAAAATAACAGTGTACCATTGATAGTTCAGTAATAGCTTTTATTTGAACTTTTTTTGGTATTATTGTTATATTCTCGCGGCATATTTATCTCTCGGTAACTGGCGCACCAGACTGAATCATTGAAAAAACTGTTGTCTCGGGATACAAAAAAAAAAAAAAAAAACTAACGATCCTGTTTCAAGAATAAAGAGATCCAGTAGTATACTATTCCTCGTGTGATACAAAAAATAGCTAAACAGCAACGCAATGAAATTAGTAGTTGCTCTCAACAACAACAGTTGATTAATTTGCTGGGAATTTTTTTTTTTTATTTTTTTCACGTGCAAAGTTATATAGTTTATGAAACCAGTTTTTTTTTCAACGTACGTATGGTAAAAAGCATAAATTGCACTGATATATTTTAGTCATTTTGAAACTTTTGGCTCTTTCACTTGCTAGCCCTACAAATTCTATATAAATGTGTTCATAGACAAATTTGTCACTTGTATACCACCAAAAAATAAATTACGAAACGGATTTAACTCGCTTTTTTTTTTTTTTCAATCATAATTGGACGTGATTAATCTCAGCGTACGCAGGATCACATATATAATCTTGATCTGTTCAGGCTCGTAAGGATATAACGTTGATAATATCGTCACGCAAAAATCATGCGGTGCTGGATGCTTTTTAGAATAGCTCTGTCTTTGTTTACGACTAAGAGACGACAGGAAAAAAGAATAAATACCAAAAGAGAGCAGATATAGTCGAGTCATCTTTGCACACAAGTAGAGGTATATACACTGTAAATCTAAGTGTGTTTAATTACACATATATAGCGTGTATTTTAACACACATGGGCGCGTTATATTCACAATCAAAGAATTAATACTTTTGACTTTAATAAAACAAAAGTGATGAGTTTTTGTATGTGTGTTTTTTCTTTTCTACAAAAAAAAAGGAATCATTTGAGCCTAGAATAGTTTAAGTGACATTCAATTCAAAAATTTTTTAAAATAATAATTTTCAGTAGTGGTACTTGAATCTGCTTGATTTATTAGGTTTTCCAAGTAATATGCAACTTTGTTATTTATTTGGCACCAAAACATGTGATTTGNGTTAATATATTTTTCACCTATCGGTTATTAATTTATCTTTAATTAAACAAAAGTGATGAGTTTTTGTATGTGTGTTTTTTCTTTTCTACAAAAAAAAAAAAGGAATCATTTGAGCCTAGAATAGTTTAAGTGACATTCAATTCAAAAATGTTTGAAAATAATAATTTCAGTAGTGGTACTTGAATCTGCTTGATTTATTAGGTTTTCCAAGTAATATGCAACTTTGTTATTTATTTGGCACCAAAACATGTGATTTGCGAAGCAAATAAGAAATAAGCAATGATTCGCTTAAAGGCATGTTGTAATACGTTTGAATCGTGTGGAAAATACACACTTGAGGGGTATTGGAATAAAAAAGACGTAGAAACGTGTAAATTCTGTCACGGCGCGGCGGTTTACACGCTCCAAGCGTATTAATATAACACACTTGGATTTACAGTGATAAGTATGTGTAGTCATGTTTCAGCCGAGCATGCCATTTTTGTCGTGTCGCATCGTGGCAGGTACTTATATGATCATAAGAAATGCCTATACCTGCTTTTCACCTCAATCAATGTAGTATACAAGTAAGTATATCATACTGTGTGAGATCACCGGTGAGTTGAATCGCTGCTCCAGCGACCTACATGGACTTATGTATTTGTACAGCAATGTATATAATATGTAGTAGTGACGGAATTAACATTTTTGCCACGAAACAGCTAGTCATCCGTAACGTAAATAAAAATGTACACGTGTATGGCGAAAATATACCTATACGGATATTCAAGGTAATGGGTATAAGTATAGCGCGACATTATTATTTATGACGATGATGGAGGAAATCCGTGAGGAGGAGGATGGCCATCCTGTCGCGGCCGATGTGTGTTTTTTACTCGAGAACGGAGGATGCTGCCTGATTGCGTGGTGATGAATAAAAAAAAAAATAAAAAAAAAATACACGCGTGCACGAGTGAAGATTCCTTTTTTTCGATTACTTCAGTATATCGCATGGAAGCGTGTGTTTATCGTTGTTGTTTTTTACGGGTATCGCGCGATGTGCCACTCCGACAAACGGATTACCGTGATTAACGCCTCGTGTAAATAAATCTCGACTCCGTGGCTCTTTTCTCGGTTGTAAGATAGACTCGGTGAAGGCCGATCGGCAACATCACGCTTACCTGATGTATACGCTCAATCGTCGGCATTCCTTTAGATTCGCTTGTAATTAATGACATATATTTATATATACACAGTATTGTCTGCACAAGAAAGTTATATATGTACACGTGTAAGCGTGAATGGTATTTTTTTTTTTTTTTTTCAAATCGTCCAAAAATACGGTAAAAAGCATGACGCGCAAAAAATCGTAAGCGTTTTCAAGCGTTTGCTACTCTGAAGTACTTTGGGTTTTTAATTTTCATAGCCAACTGTGCTAAAACGCATTCAATTGCTTATGCAAAGTACTTTTCATTTATTTACTCGGAAGCCAAATGTTTCCATTAAAAATCTCGAAAGATGTCCACGCGTGAATTGGACAACGAAAAAAAAAAAAAAAAAAAAAAAAATAAACATATGTATGGAACTGCGAAGTCGATGGAAAAGGGAGTCACGTGTGCGACAAATGACTTATTAAAGAGCGCGATGTAAAATTAGTGCTACTCTATTGAAGAAATCCATACTTTGCCGACCCTGCTCGCACAAGTGATGCTCGGCCGTATAGATTATCGCCTGACCCTGCACTACTGACTCTCTTTGTTTCCTTTCATTTCTTTTCATCACTACTTTCATGTGCTTCACTATACGTATACATTACATTATAGAATGCACCTACCTACTTTCTGATTTGCCTTGCGCATGTGTACTCAATGCTCCCCCAAGTTTATTATATGGATCAAAAAAAGGGAGAAAAAAAAATCCCGTCCCTCTGCACGTGATTGTAATAGAACGTGATGTATAGGTACACCGCTCTCTTCCCTTTTTATCCCCGACACCGCACTACGGAGCGAAGAAAATCTTTAAAAGCTCCCCTCATTTCCGGCTGAGCTGCAAAAATTGCATTATGCAATCTCCCGGCCCAAGATAGGTGTATACGCGCACTTGTCCGGGTATACATAATAGAAGTTGCGGAGACTCCTTTATTCGCGCTAGCCGCTCTCTCTCTCTCTCTCTCTGCTATATAACTTTAATCGAAGGAGATGAACTTCTCCGGCTCTTTGACGCGACGCGCGGTTTTATCGAGGCCTTTTTTTTTATCTCCCAACATATGCACGAGGTAAGGGTTTACTTGTTACGAGCATTCGAGTTTGACAATTGATCGATCGATCGACCGATTCGACAAGTTGATGGTCAATTGATCGATTGGCATAATCATTTTCCGCGCGAGGTTTTCATCGGACTTTTCATTTCATTACAACTCCCTCCATGTGCATATTCGAGAGATAAAAACTCAAGACTTTGGCTCTGACATTCACGTAGAACGTGCCGTTTCGCGAGTACATGTGTATACGCACAGGTAAAAACACCCATTATGATATATGTTTAACCAGCTGTACCGAACCAAATAATGTATGTGCTACACCTTTGACATAAATGCTTTGCACACTTTGAGCATCACACCTTCGTACAGTTGATCCCTATTTTTTTAAGAAAAAAAGAAAAAATGATTCAGTTTACATGTGATATTTACAAACAAATCTGCTGTCATTTATTACTGGGATGCATATGCATTTTATAAAAAAGTAGAAATTACCATGATTCGTATATTTGATGGACAAGTACATGTGTTACGTATAGGATTTTAAATAACACGTTATTATAATAGCTGTTGTAAATGTGCGTTGTTACTGGATGCTTTGCACATGATACGTACGCGAAGTAACGATGACACGTACAATCGAAGCAATTAAAGTTGAGAATCACGCGTACTTATTTGAGGTTGCGATGAACAAGAAAAACAGGGAGGAGCGTAAAAATTGAAAAAGAAATCGGCACGGCTTGTTGATTTTTTTGTTTTTTCCAAGTGCATGCCCGATGACGAGAAAATTCCTGAAATTACAAGTTCCCCTGTAAATCGCTCGACCGGCAGTTTTTTAAAAAAAGCCTAACGCCAAAGTGGGGCTTTCTCGAAAATGGCTGAATTTTCACTAATTTTGTTGTCACGCGAATTATTCGGAAAAACTAAGAAGTTTATCATTCTGGAAAATTGAGGTGTCCGGGGCATCCGTTACTTACATATCCAATCTGTTTCGTGACGAG